CTGCGAAAGGGTCAACTGTTCCAAAAAATCATGTAAGCGCACAGAACCTTCATCGGTAGAAGGGAAACTTTTCTGGAACGATTGAGCTTCCACCTGTTCCATGGTATGTAGATATACTTCCAGAGAACCTGCTTCCAATTTATGAAAATCGCCCTTATCGAGGATGTCACGCAACTCGTTGATCCAACGCTGGAGTAGAACTTCGTTGCAACTTGCAATGATCGCACAACAAAACCTAAGAGGAAGAGGAGACAATAGGGAGCCTTTTTAACCAATTTTCTGTCAAAGGCGAACCAGCATCTGATTGGTCCGGTGAACGTATAGAAACGGAAGAATTTTTACAACAGGGAATCTATTTTCTTGAATTTTGACAGTCGACTGCGTTGCCCATTGAGTTCTCGACCACCGTTAGCATTGGTGAGGAGTTTTATATGCGTTTTACTGGTTGAAAATAAAAAAACAACCCGCTGTCAAGTTGACCACTTTGACAGCAAATTTAGTGGTTGAAAATAATAAACAAATCGATTTTACACGACTACACCTAGCGACGTTGTATTAGTGAGATCTTTCGACGAGAAGTCAGTATGAAATAGTTTTTGCACGGTCGTTTCCGCGAAAGAAGAAGAACACGCCTCAGACAAAAAGAAGACAGTTGTCTCTTCTTCCTCTTAGAACAAAACTATCGAAAGATAAACAAATTTTGACGTTTAACTTTTTCCATGTAGCTTTGCCACCATTAATGTCGTCATAAAAATAAATAGAATAGGATCAAGCAAAATGGCTTAAGATAAAAACAATTCAGTCTGCAAATTATCGTCATAAAGTCGCATTAAAACGTTTTGCATTGATTAGCGATTTCATGAAAGAAAAACATTTTTTTTACAAATGGCTTATGGAAAATTAAAGATTTTGCTATCACCATATTGTTATTATTCCCGTTGTTTTTTTTTTAACTATAGGGTGGGTGAGCCAGTAGTGGAGGTACTAAGCCATTTTATTAATTAATCAATAAATATACGATGTACACACAATTGTTATACGTCAATCTATAGCTTTAAACCTCTATTTTGATAGAAAAATATTACACTGTAATAAAATTGCATACAGTTTTAGAAAACTCATCCTCCATTAATAAGGAACACTGTTGAACCAGTAGTTGTGGTAGTTGCTAACTTTGGTTCCTATAATAGTGGAATTCGTTGGTTTCTTATGGATTCCATAATTATAGGAACACTACCGCAACTATAGGTGCAAACAAGTGAAAATTTCAAGGAAAATTAATGATTTTCGGTAATTTTTGGGCTAATTTTAAGTTTGAAATATGCAAATATACTTTATTTTAGGACAGCTACCTATAAAAAATAATCTTATCCGGGTCCTCCTCACTATTCCGGCACAACCTCCATACCGCAACCCCCCGAAACTATAGGTACACCACTATTACTGGAACACCTACCCTATTCGTTTTTCAAGATGTTCATTGATCAATTCATCAATGAGCAGTAAAGAGATTACGAAAATCATCCAATTATCTCGGCTGGGTGCAATTATTAATATAAAAAATAACTACATTTTGTTTCTTAAATTAAAAGAAATATGCTAAAATCAACGTTTTCCGAAGGCGGATTTATTTAATTTTTTTTTGATAATTTTGGTAATTATTTCACATTAATAATGAAAAAAATATGAGGATTTTTTACCGATACAGTTTTGAACAATGAATTTGGCAAGATCGGATGATATTTGTGAACCCCTTTTTATCTTGATTGATACTTTATTTGTAGTGCGCTTAGCAAGTTTCAAAGGCAAATGGCACATTTTTTTTTTTTAATTCTTTATTTAAGAGATTTTTAGCCTTAGGCTAGTTCATCTCTAAATCAAATGGCACAAGTATTGATGCCAAATGGCATTCATTTCAGTCACGGATATAAACTAGCCTTAGGCTAAAAATCTCCCTAATAAATATTTTAAAAAATGTAGGTTTAATAATGATTTCAAATGGTTCTCAATACTTTCGTCGTACAACCTTTTTGCAGCTAATCAATCTTGAAGAGCCTCGAAAATATTCCCTTCAAAACCCTCTCCAGGGTGGACCAACTAGACAGATTTTAGTCTTAATGAGGTTTTGGTGGGTGCAATAAAGACAAAGTTGTCTTGACCAGGGTGTTTTATAGTAGCCTTGTAGTACTTCATAAAACGTAAAATGTTACTTGGGTAAGTTGCGCAAGGCAATCATACATAACTTCACTTATGTTATATGTAGATACAAGCGGTGGACTGTGCCTTTTTTGTTATAAATTAGTTGAATATAAGTGACTAGACGTTTTTTTACAGCCGAAATTGTCATAAATAAGTTATGTAGACCCCTTTATGACAAACGGTGTTGCTTGGATAGGAATCTTCTTGATACGTTGTCTTCGGTTTAACTCAAAAGACCACATAATAATCAAATATGGCCAAATCTTTCCGCGCTAGAAAAAGAAAATCCCAGCTTATTGCACAGTGATATCAATCAAATTACAGTGAAGTTTCGATCGTTTGGATAAACCTATAGCCCACTTAGTGAAAGGCTTTCGTTACTTGGGCTGAGCTGTCAAGTTTTAAATTGCTTGCGGGATACACCGATTTCTTATTATCATCAAAATAGATTAGCAACTTTCCAAATTGTTCATCCATGAGCCCCTCGAAACTGAACGATTGCCGTTACACATTTTACCGGAGCCATCGTGTTCGGAGTGTTAATGCCAAGTGCTTTTTCGCAGGCAACGATATTTTCTGCAAAATGTATTAGTTGACCTTTAAATAGCCACCCACGATTTGTACAATCGCATATGCTATGCTATAGCATATGCTTTGCTATGGACATAAGGGACGACACCATTAACAACGGTACACGCACTGTCATGTCATGTTTATTATACATAAATTAGTTCAGGATAAGTTTCCACCACCACACATTCTAGGTTCTCCAAATTGTCTTGAAATTCGGATTATTTGATCAACTGGATCAATCAGGGTTTTCACGATGTCCTCAGTAACGAAACAAGCCTAAGTATGTCGATAAGGTTCATGCTCATCATTTACAATCAGTTTTTATGGGTAATATTATATACAACACCTAAAGCATTCACATTTTGCACTTAAAATCGCCAAAAAACCTGAGCAGCAATTAACGAAAAGTTTTAACAATCCACAAATAATCGAAAAATTTCCGATTAAAAAACTCCAATTAGCACTTAAATATTGGGAAAGTACCGTAGATTGGGGGCAATTTTTTGCTATCTTCATTAAGGATAAAAATACTGCCCACGGGCTACGGTACTGTTTCAATATTTAAGTGCTAATTGTGAATTTTTCATTGCAACTTTCAGATTTTTAATCAAATTGATCACCAGGGTTAAATTTATTATTATGCGTTGTTAATTGTCACGTATAACATTTTCGGTGCTAGATATCAAGAGAAATCTTAAAAGCACTCCAATGATTGCCCTGATGTGTTTTTCATACCAAAACATTGTATTTTATTGCATAAATTTAAATTTTTAGAGCTGACGTTAAGTAGCATACAATCCAAACAAACGATCATAGGACTGCAAGGATTGTTGTCATTACCATTCAAGTAGTATTTCCTACTAAACTAAGTGTCAATGAATCCGAATTATTTAATAAATTATGGTAGAATGCTTCAAATATTAAGACATCCAAAGTTTTTCGCAAAAATACTTTTTTACGTTTTTGCTGAAAATACTTTTCCCACAAAGGTTTTTGCATCTAAATAGGATTCAGGGAACCCACATTGAATAAGAACAATTACTACAAATGCACTGGGAAGCCATTTGAGGGGTTGATAAATTAACAAAACGTGCAATATTATAAGACAACATGCAGGTGGAGCCCTCATAGCTACTGAATTAAATACCATTAGTTTTTGAATTTAGTTTATAGTAGAAAATTATTTAAATATTTACGTTCAATAGTGGTCAATTTGCTCCTGGATTACGGTACCAATAAAAAATGAAGAATTTTCCATAAAAAATAAAAAGGGACCAACTCAAAATTTATAACTAACAATAAAAAGCTTATTGTTATCGCTATTTATTTTAGATTTTATTTGAAATTTTTTAATTGTCTAGGTCACTTGTTCCATTTGTTATGAAAAACATTGGTTTTTTATTTGCACTTTCTGGATATTTTATTGCTGATTTTGTTTTTTTTTTTATTGCATCTTTCAGATTTTAATTGGAATGTGTTGGAAAATTCTTGGAACAAAGATGGTTCCAATGGGTTACTTTACTACACATGGCCTACACGACTGTGCAGGAATTACGCTTTTCAATCTGATGCCAAAAAATGTTTTTACCAATTTGGTTGATAATTTTGAGCTGCTCGTCGGATAGCGCATACTTCTAGCTGAATTTGACATTTTATTTTAGATCAATAATTGGTTGGTATAGTCACTAGGGTGGTTCACAAACATTAAAAACTAAATATCGCCGTTATTGAATTGAGGTATACTGTAGAACGTTTTTTGCATTGTTTGAGGTCCTCTATTACCCTGTTGCGGATAGACCATGTACTAGTCACCCTATATCAAATCATATTTTCGACTGAATTTACACACTTAGAAATAAAATTTTTTACACGTGACGGAATCCATCTTTGACATAAAAAAGGAGACGTAAACTAACAAGTCATGTAATATTAAGTGCCCGAAACTGAAAAATTCGTTGCTCGACAAAAATTAGGTTTGATTAGGCTATATTTTGCGTCTGTTGTGACTCAAATTTATGTCAAAATTGACGCTCGTATGTGTCACTCTCAGAGCACCTAAATTTACATGAATTTTTCTAAGTGTGTAGCAAAGGAATTAATTCAAAGTTCAATGTTGAAAAAGCCCTAATATATTCACAATTTAAACCTACATACCATTTTGAAACAAGAAATACATCTGCACTATCTACGACCCATTCCCGGACCAAATAAATCACTTTTCTACTCACCTCCATGACTCCCACAGAGGATCACTAAATTCGTCAGTAGTTTATCACGATGCACTTGGGCTTTCGTGCCAAAATTTATTGCTTCTCCACCCTCTTTTAACTCAACTTGTGCAGCACCTACTCTTTCACCGTACACGCAGTTGCCAAAAATCCGACGGTTACACTTGCAACTAGTTGCACGGATAGAAACACCCCGATTACGACAAATCTTGTAGATTTACAAATTTATTCATAGACCTTCCGCGTCATAAATTTATTCACTAGTGACGTGCTTCCCAGGGAATGTACTTTTTTTTTCTGTGCTACTTTACCACTATTCGTACACTTGTTAGAATAGGACTGCCAAGTGGCAAGATTTAAGTGGTGCTGAGATCTACTTGTACTAACCTCTAGCAGGGGGTTATTGTTAATCTGGAAGTAAAAAATACTCACTGCCTCGTCGTTGCTTTTGTTTTCGGTGAAAATGCAAGTATTTGAATAGGAAAAAGCAGAAACAATAGCACCAGAGTTCTTTCGTTCTACACGTTGATAGAATCCTTCACTGACTAACACTTTTGCAAAAATGCATATGAAAGTATGGTACCGGATTTAAATTCCCCTAATGCTTTCTTCTAGCTTCCGTGCATTCAAATTATTCAAAAGTCGTTTGCTTCCGTTCAATGTCCAAATCCTTTCTTGTTTTTTCCTCTCTTTAGCACAGCACCACACTCCTATGTTTGCGTTGTATTTTAATCTAACGTTCTTCACAGCCCCTGAAGATCACTTGTTGTTCCTGTTGGCCTAACTCTCGTGTGTCATCTGTATCCTCGGGGTCACCAGAAAGAAGTGCTTACTGCTTTACAAGATCAGTTCCTTTTATTTCCTCTCCTATTCATCATCGCAAGCATTGCCATCATCGGCGTCGTTCGGTGCTATCGTCGTCGCCGTCGTCGTCGTCGGTGACGGCGGCGGCGTCATTCTTGTTGATGACGTCCCCCATCATCACCCATAAGGACATGCGATGTCTTCGTTCATTGCGTTGCTGGTGGTACTTTTATGCTTCTTTACCGTTACATAAGGTGACATAGGTCGAAAAAAATACTCTCTTTTAATTGTGCATTGGATACATCTTATTAAACTACACATTTTGTTATATCAGTTGTAGTAAAATGATTTTTGCTTCCCACGATAAAATAAGGGTATTTTGTTCAATCTATTCATAAACCCTGCGTACTTGCGGACTTTTTTCAGAACATTTACACAACTCATGACGAGAATGATCGCGATTATGAATATTTTTCATACCTTCCGGAGCCAATGACGGATATTACAGTTAACAATTTATCCCTCAAAGAAATCTTGCATGCTCTTGAGTCCTTGCATACGTCAAAAGGCGCTGGTCCAGATGGTTTACCACCTATTCTTCTAAAAACACTTTCAAATGAATTAGTAAAGCCTTTATTTTGGTTGTTTAATTCATCGTTAAACGCCAGTATGCTGCCTCCAATTTGGAAGGAATCTTTTTTAATCCCTATTTCTAAAAACGGGAAAAAATCGGATATCACAAACTATCGCGGGATTGCTATATTATCTACTATTCCTAAACTTTTCGAGTTCATCATTAATGCCAACATATTTTCCCAAGTTAAATCTCTCATTACTAGTAAACAACATGGATTTGTTAAAGGTCGATCTACAGCCACTAATTTGATACATTTTGTAACATATGCTTTAAATGTAATGGATAAGGGAAATTACGTAGAAACATTATATACTGATTTTAGTAAAGCATTCGATAGAGTGGATATACCACTGTTGATTTTCAAGTTGTCCAAGTTAGGTTTTAATACCAGGCTACTGCAATGGATCGAGTCATACTTGTCAAGGAGAACGCAAAGAGTAAGATTTGAAGGAAAATTGTCGTCTGTCCATGTAACATCTGGTGTGCCACAAGGTTCGCATCTTGGTCCACTACTATTCATCTTATTTGTCAATGATATAGAATACATTTTGAAGCTGCTTCATGTTTCAATATATGCAGACGACATGAAACTTTTCATGGAAATATCTAAAGCATATGATATGCAGCTATTTCAGCAAGAAGTTGACATTTTTTACACTTGGTGTAAGAAGAATTTGTTAGAGATTAACGTTAGTAAATGTAATTCTATATCGTTTACAAGAAAGCATGTCATAGTAAATGACACAATTTCCCTTGGTGAGAAAACAGTTGAAAGGTGTAATCAAGTAAGGGACTTAGGCATTATTCTCGACTCTAAGTTGTCATTTGTTGATCACTACAATAACATTATATATAAAGCAAGTAAGATGCTAGGGTTTATCAAAAGATTTAGTCAGCACTTCAATGATCCTTACACTATTAAAACATTGTATGTGGCCTATGTGAGACCTCTTCTCGAATACTGTAGCGTAGTGTGGGCTCCGTATCAGGATACATATATAAACCGCATTGAGTCTGTTCAAAAACAGTTTTTGTTGTTTGCCCTTCGAAAATTAGGTTGGACGAGATTACCACTTCCATCTTATGAATCGCGATGTTTGTTAATAAGTTTAGATGGACTGAAAAAACGAAGAGACTTTGCCATGATAACATTTATAAACGATGTTATTGCTCAAAGAGTTAATGTTCCGGAAATTTTAGAAAATATAAATTTTTATGCTCCCACTCGCTCTCTGAGGATTAGGAATTTGTTTTACATTAACAATCAAAGAACAAACTATGCTAAAAATGGGCCTTTGAATAGAATTATGACCTGCTATAACGCATATTCCCAATCAATTGATGTAACAATGAATAAAATAACACTAAAAAAAAATATTCTTTTCAAGGTTAGCCAGGCAATAATATTTAAGACATAGTTAATAAGCATTCATTGTAATTGGTCTACGATTGATTGACGACATAAATAAATAAATTTGTATGAACTTTTTTAATTTTGAGCAAATCCACGCCAAACATTGAAAAAATGTATGAAATCCAGCTTTTACCTCTCAGATTTCCATGAAACTTCGTATAATTGTTCAATAAGGTAAGTGAACCAAGTTTGTGCTGGAACTTGGCCGTTTTGACCTTTGTGCAATATACATTTTTGTATAAATCGCAGCACGAAAACGGCTCATCTAATCAAAATGATGTCTTTTATCTCAGGTATAGGAAACTGGATGTAAAAAAAGAAAAAAAAAACTGTTTTAAAACTTATTTTTATTGAGTAGCAAGCACATTTTGATCATGAGCATGAGTATGATTGACCGCCCACGGTTGTTACTCTGTTATTGCCAGATCAGCTGTAATTACACAGAGAATCAATAGATAATGCTTGGGACTAGCAATCAACCGCAGTGTGTAAAAACAGGTGATCGCAAACTAGGCAATAGACGCATTTCTCAGATTTCAATAAAATTTTCTGGATGTGTAGACTTTGACTAAATAAGCACTTTTGCATACTCAGTTTTTCCAAATTTTATCTAGACCAACATTTGAGAAGGACCAAACCTTTTCTGCCGATTTTTTTCAACAAAATATTATGGAAAAATGACAACTCCAACAAAAATATGTTGTATGGATGACTTTTAGGAAATTGACCAAATTCTCAAAAAAAAAAAATACTGAAAAAAATTTCATTTAAGGCCTACACTGAAAAAAATCGATTTTTAAAATTTAAAGTCGATTTAAAAAGAATGGCCGTGTTTGAAACTTTGCCTCAAGATAGGTAATTATGTTTACTACCATCCGTCCATACATCGCGACATGGGCACTTTTAACGTACGATTTTTACACAAAACTAAACCAGTGAAGCTCAAAATCATCTCAAAACCCAATGAAGCTCCATTTGTGATTCAATTTTGTCTAATCAGCAACTAATCACTTGGATTAATGGAGAATTCCATATGAAAAGGGCTTATATCATTAGAAAATAATATAATTGATTATATTGTCTACTACTGAGGCAAAATCCGATACTCCTATAGCAACTAAGAATTCTTAGCTCAAATTATCCATAAAGAATTAGGTATGAATAAAATTTAAATTGAGATCTTCTTTCGAATCAACAACGATTTGGGAAGTCAACGTATCGTATCATAATTCTATATGCCCTTGTGTTATTTATTCCTAAACCATTAACATTATATACCTACCACTTCATTCTACCTATGAGCACTGTAAAATAAGGTTGATTTCATACAAGCAGCAGTCAATCTGATAACGAAAGTTGTGAAGACAAGGTGTAGTAAAATTATTATCATGGACCAAAGTAGTAAATTAAGGCTCAAAGGATTGAAATGTTGTGCAAATACAAATAATCCGAGATGCAACCGAAATAAGTTACGGGCCATATCGTCAACGATGGTAGAAAAAATACATTCTATGGGATATAACCACGAAATTGATGAAACGATGAGCATTTGTGAGTCATGTCGTAACGTGATATCTCATAATAGAAGTCCAGTTATGAAAAAACGCCGATCGGTTAGAAATGAAGTAAATATCCAACCGTCAACTAGTGGGCAGCAGCATAGTGATGATCCAGGTCCATCAATGAGTGGCCATCTATCCGTAGATGAGCTAGGTAAGAACAGTCATCCTGATGATTCTATCAACTTTTAACTGCAACCTCCTAATTTCACTTATTAATTATTTTCTTCTTCTTTCCTTCAGAAACGGTACCATCGGTTCCATTCTTGGAGTCAGTTCCATCAGCAGATGATCTGCAACGCCCATACAATGTTGAGAAGTTTAATGGCTTTGTGGAAACGTTGAATTTATCTCCAATTACATTGAGGGACATGAGGAGCATGGATTATCGTTCAATAAAATCTCTAGAAATTACACAAGCAGTGCGAAAAAATATATTTGACCTAGATACAACAGACATTACCAAAATAGAGGCTTACGAAGAAATGATTGTGCAGCTAAAGGAGAAGTTCAATTCCCCTACAGCTGACAAAAAAGATCAGATAACAGTATTATCAGTATTGCCAAAGTCTTGGTCCGTGAATAAATTTGTAGCAGAATTCAACGCACCAACTTACATGGTGAGGCAGGTGAAGAGCCTTGTTAATGAGCAGGGTATTCTAAGCACACCCAACAAAAGAAGTGGGCATGGGATCAACGATGATACAAAAAACTAGTCAGGGAATTTTTTGATGACAATGATTTTGTTTCCGAGTTTGATAAAATTAACAAACTTATAACTCATGACTTTATTTACAAACAACAGTCATCTTTTCTAAGAAATAAAAAAGAATCATTAAAAGATGGCGAAATTATAGCAATTTGTGATTTTTCTGAAAATTATTCATTCATTATCCAAAACGTTGCTCAAGGATATCACTGGAATAATTCTCAAGCAACAATACATCCATTTGAAGTTTATTATAAGAAAGACAATAAACTTGAAAATGTTAGCTTCATTATCATATCAGAAGTAATGACTCACGATACAGTTGCCGTTCAGTTGTTCATCTCAAAAATGATAGATTTTATTAAACAATCGACAGATTTTTTCTAAAATTACTTTTATGTCAGATGGGGCAGCATCACAATACAAAAATAAAAAAAAAACTTTGCTAGTCTGTGTAGATTGCAGTCAAAGCATGGATTAGAAGCAGAATGGCATTTTTTGCAACGTCTCATGGAAAAGGTCCCTGTGATGCCATTGGTGGCACTCTCAAGCGAATGGCAAAGAAAGCTAGTCTTGCTCGAGATTATGGAAACACCATAACAACTCCACGAGAATTATATAACTGGGCAGTTGAACAAACAGATAAAAATATCACAAAACTACGTTTCGAGTACATATCCACTGAACAGTACATCGAAATA